GGCCACATTGTCTCCACTGAAGGCATCCGTATGGCTGTCTCTTATACACATCTAGATGTGTATAAGAGACAGGAGAGAGAGAGAGAGAGAGAGAGAGAGAGAGAGAGAGAGGAGTTGGACCTGTGGGAGCGATTCTTGCGCAGCAAGGTCAACTTTGCAGGGTTTGGCATGAATGTCGGTTTTCCCGCTATTTTGAGAAGTGAGGAAAGTCTGTTGCGAGAGGCCAGGAGGAGGGAGAGAAGGGTACCGTGAATCGGAGCGGTTTATAACTCGTATCGCTGAAATAACAACAAAGCCGTAATAGGAGTAATACTACTAAGTAGGAGTCCTCGGTAGCAGTAGTACTCGGTAGCAGGAGGAGGAGGAGAAGGAGGAGGAGGATTTGAAAGGGCCGAGCGCGCGCTCACTATATAGGCCATCGATCGATCGGTTGACAGCCGTTAATTGATTGATTGATTGATTGGTTACAATGGGGAAAAGTGACGTTCGCAAGACCATCCGCGCGTTGAAGTATTCCTTCATTGCCAGTGAAGAGGGTGCTCAGGTGAGGATTGGTTCGTTAATTAGTACTCGTATCTTATCCGCGTTTATCCTTATTTGTTTATGATGTGTCATTATCACTTATATGAAATCTTGACCATGTCTTCTCTCTACTCTTCCAACTCTCCCTACTCCGCCAACTCCTCCCCCTACTCCCCTACTTCACCATTATGGGCACTTTCGCTCCATGTCACTGCCGTTCCATTCTTCCTAACTTTCCACTCCCTTATTGGCTCGTCCATTGCTACGTAGCGTGTGTAAATACAATAAATTTTATAATATAATTAAATTCAATAATCCTGTACTAATAAATTTGATAATCTGCGAAAAAGGAAAATGAATGAATGATTAAATAGACAAATAGAATAGTTAAGCAAGAAGTCTCGTTATCGCTCATCATCATTTGGAGTCTTCGAGATGTCTTTTTTTTTTCTTTTCCTTGACAAAAATGCATTCTTTGTGATGTTTCACTGTGTCATTTCGTCCTTCTTCCCTTCTTCTTTCGCTTCTCCCCTCCTTCATCCTTTGCTCGCATATGAGCGTAGGTACTATCGCCGTCTTCCTCGCGAATCGAGCGCGTGGGTATCGATCTCCGGGCCGGATTCACAAAAGTAAAAAAAAGGAAAATAAAAAAATCCATTTGCGCTTTACTTGTCTATGAAATATAGCGCAATTCATTTAGTCAGTTTCTGCAACGGTCGTTCTTGTCGCTGGACCCCTCTCTCTCTTTCTCTTCTCTCTCTTTCTCCCACCCACCCACAACGATGATAAAAAGATGATGAAGTTCCAGATTGCCGAACTTTGTACCCACTGATGAAGTTCCAGATTGCCGAACTTTGTACCTACTGATTAAGATGGCTCTGGCTATGACGATAGTGATGATGATGATGATGATGATGCAATCCAAGAGCGAGGATTTTGATCATATTTGATGCTGATGGTGATGATGATGGGCGTGGTGGTGAAGGTGGCTCTGGCTATGGCGACAGCGATGATGATGATGGTGATGATGTAATCCAAGGGCAAGGGTTTTGATTCATATTCGATTCTGATGATCATCATGATGATGGTGATAGGCTTGGTGGTGAAGATGACTCTGGCTATGGCGATAGCGATGATGATGATGATGACGATGATGATGATGATGACAATGATGACGACGACGATGATGATGATGATGATGATGATGACGATGACGATGGAATCCAAGATCGTATTCTTTTTTTTTTCTTCTTCTTCTGATGTTGCTGATGATATGATTAGGGATAATTAGTGAGGATGATGATGATGATGATGATGATAAGATTAAGGATAATGATGATGATGAAGATGATGATAAGATGATGAATTTTGAGAATGCCCAACATCAGGGATCATGGTGAAGATGGCTATGGCTGCCTGGACCCCGGTGACCAAAGGGATGGCTATGGTGAGATCGAGGGCATTGATGTTGACGTCATAGATTATGCGACGAGTAGTAGTGAGAATGGCAGTGATGGTGATGATGACGAAAGCGAGGGAGATGAAGGGGGGGGGGTCGACGACGTCATTCTCTTCTCCGCCGTGGGCCTCCTTGACATATGGCATTTTTCAATTTTTGTTGACGATGAAACCATCATCGTATGTGGACGATGGTTTTGTCTAGGAGGACAGGAGGGAGAATGCGAATGCGAAATCGATGTTGTGTGTGTGTGTGTGATGATGATGATGATGATGATGATAAGTTTTTTTTTTTTTTAGTAATGAGAAGGATCTTGATTCATGTGAGGCGAGGAAAGAGCTAAGAGGGCTGCGGACGTGTACTCGGGGGGGCGAGGACTCGAGAAGAGGAGGACATTGCGAAAGGGACTCCTCTCTTTTATAGCTCTCCTTCGCTCTCCTCTCCTCTCCTTTCCTCTTGACCACGATTAGTCGGTGGGAGGGGGGTGACGTCTCTCTTATCCTTTACATTGAGTGGTGGAAGTTTGTTCCTGGCTGCTATCAGTTGTACTATGCATTCTCCTCTTGATGGATGGAGAAATTGAGATACCGACTTTCGTTGTAATACAGATGTAAACTTCAGCTGGAATTCAAAAGTGGAAAAAGAAAAGATCTTGTCGAAACCTTTTGTGTGTGTGTGTGTGTGTGAGAGAGAGAGAGAGAGAGAGAGAGAGAGAGAGAGAGAGAGAGAGAGAGAGAGAG